GGAAGACTACTGCTTATATCTCCTTGGCAGAACTTTATGTCCATCTCTAGTTCAGGAGAGTTTGGGGAATTGTGTAAAACTAGGAAAGGGAAGGAAGGAAGTGGCTTGAAAGATTGTTGTATGAGCAAACTTACAGTATTTGCCATCATCCACCTCTTTGACTTCTCAACATTTGTGTACAACTTTTCTCTCCTATATTTGCTTTAAATGAAATGAATTCATCCTCTCTCTTTTGAGGTAGGTAATCTCAAAATTCTGTCCAATTTCTGCCTATAGCTTGAAATCCAGGATCTTTGGGTATTCTGCCCATCAGCTCTAGGTTTGGTTCTTTGTTGATCTTGGGACAGAAATTAAAGACAAATCATCTTCCTCCAACACTCCCAAATATACTGTTGTGGAGAAAGCAGACAGGATAACAGCAATTTTAAATTTCTCATTTAGAAAGAGGGAAAATGAGAAATACCTGTTATTGGTACACAGCAAATATAGAGTCCTGCTGGACAGGTATACTCAGGACTGCCTGATCTGACAGCAGAAGTAGTTACTGGGTTAGCCAGTCTGGTGTGCCATGTCACTTCTTTCTGGATGAATTTCTCCAATTCCTTAGATATACAGTTGGATAGACCTTCTTTGCCCATTTTGTCAGTGCCTACACTCAAAGTGGGTACTGTGGCAAGTGAAAGTAAATTAAAAAGGCCTATAAAAATAATTTAAAAGGTATTACATTACCTATAATACCCATAAATTGGGACCTGCCCAAGATGCTCTTCCTATGTGGGGGGGAGATACTGTACTTGGAGTCTACTTTCTATTGCTGTGAGTTCAGGGACCCAGGAATTACTTTAAGTACAGGTGTAGCCAGCCAAACCTAAAGGCACATTGGCAATACGGTTTCCTGGAAAATGTACCAGGCTTCCAGGAGATGGGCTTTAAGACAATTTTATGAGCGAGTAACCACATAAGCCTGGAAATTTTAACTCCTTATCTCTTGGCTCCTCTGTTCTGACCAATTCCTCTCTCTTAACCTAATGGTTGTAGCCTCAGTCCCCACAAAATAATATGCCAGGGTGAGAATGAAACACCTTTCATCAGATTTTTGCCATTAAGTTTCCCTTATTGTCACTCAGAGAAGTATTAAAAGATGGTGCTGGAAAAGCCCAGGGGCAATAATTTTAGCTCTTTTTTAGAGTCGTGCTTAGAAGCCTGCGATGGTGTGGGTACTGGCTTTTCTCAACCCTGCAGGGTTCCAAATTATGATTGTTTCAGTCAATTTATAGTGCAGGGCACTAGCAAGTGAACCTCTTTTGGCCCAGCTGTGCTTCCTTGCATCTCTGCTTGCAGACTGTTTAGATCTAGTTTGAGCATATTAATCTTCAGCATATTTTTGAAAGTGACAAGATTTAATAAGCACATGCCAACATTCTGAATTTTATTCCTACCATTCCTACTAATAGACATGGCTCAGTTGGCACGTGGTCAGGGTTTCTAATCATAGCAGGCAACAGTTTGACCAGCTGTTTTACCATGGCACATCAAAATGCATTGGCTTTCCAGCCCAAGGTGATTGAATTTTCACTGTTTGTCCCACCATCTCCTTCATAGAGTCAGTTCTACATGTTTAGGTTATGTTACTTGCAGCTCTCTTCATGCTTTAAAAATTATTACATCAGTCAGTATTCTTAATTGCAAACAACATAGTCCACTTTGATTAGTTTATGCACAGAAAGAGTATTTCATAGATTATTATGTTGCTCAAGAATAGTTGGAGAAGTCAAAAAATGTCAGCAACAGAAGCCACTGTGTGGGAACAGTATCAAATTATGGGGTATGGTTGCCTTGAAGAAAACACTAATCAATACTTTTGCACCCCAAACCCTGGACTAAATACTAGAAACTCTATATTAAAGTACTAAAGCACCCACTGCCACTGTTGCCAAAAGTGTAATTTCCCAGAATATGGTCATTGTATCCCTTTGCTTGATTTTGAGTTCACATCTTGCTTGAATACAGGGCAAATGAGCAGACCATAGCTGCAAAGGAATCTAGGAATGGGTGATATCTAGATTCAGTATTGAGAAGACGAAGAACATAAGGAGGGATATAGCCAAAATGGAAGCAGAATGCTCAGAGATGCTGTGCATCTCTAGAGCAGCTTCAACTCAATCTCTGGCTTTATACCC